AAAAAAAAAAGGCATAACACTAGTGTTGGCCAGCAAGTATTTAAAAATAAAAATAGGAGGGGCTGGGGAGATGGCTCAGTGAAATAAGTGCTTCCCTGGCAAGCGCAAGGGCCTGAGTTCAATCCCTGGTTCTGCCAAAAACAAAAAAGCAAAAAAATAAAAATAGAATAAATGAAAATTAAATTTTAAAAGGAACCACTCCTACTGCAATTAAATCAGTTTTTGTTTTATACATGAAAATTCTATTTTTCTTGATCCTCCTCCCCTTTGAGCCTTGCTACTCATTAAACAGTCAAAGAAGAAAATTTTCTAAAATTAGTACATGACAGGAATAGTAGGATTTTGCCCCTGAGATGTCATGCTAAGACTGATACTAGGTAGGGAGTTTACATCTTCCTTGCATGTTTTGATGAATTCTGCTTCTTACAAATCTCGCTGAGGGGCACTAGATCAAGAGATTTCAGTATAGGTGTTTCCAAAGCAAGCACACTTGACCAACAAAGGATCTTTTTTTTTTTTTTTTTTTTGAGACAGGGTCTCAGTATGTAGTTCAGGTTGGTCTTGAACCTATGCCAGTCCTCCTACCTCAGCCTCCTGATTACTAGGATTAAAACCACATGTAGCTAAACTGAAATCTTTGAAAGGAAAAACTGTCTTTGTGAATGTGATTTCTACCCTTTAGTTGAAAGGCCTTCCTTTTCACATTATTGAGCCAGAGATGTCCTGCCCATGTCCCCCAAGCTTAATCTTCACTTTTAAAAATATATGCAATATGATCTTTCGCATGGGTGTATCTTTCTAGGAGGAAGGATTAAAGTTAACATTCCAGAAGCACAAGCTGATGGCTAATGGAGTAATGGGAGATGGACACCCACTGTTTCATAAGAAGAAGGGGAACAGAAAAAAACTGGTAGAGGTAAGTAGTAGAGAAAGCCTCTAACCTCACAGTTAGGTAAGATCTTTCATTCTTAGTAGTTGATGAAGGTGGTCGGGACTTAGGGATTGAAGATATTCTTGTTATAATTAGTACCAGCTATGCTTCCCCTCCCTTCCACCTCAGAGAAGTGTATGTGCTCATGGGGGTGGATTCTGGGTTTGCAGCTGGAGGTGGAGTGCATGGAAGAGCCTAATCACCTTGATGTGGACCTGGAGTCCCGGATCCCCGTCATCAATAAGGTGGATGGTACTTTGCTGGTGGGTGAGGATGCCCCTCGCCGGGCTGAACTGGAGATGTGGTTACAGGGTCATCCAGAGTTTGCTGTCGATCCCCGATTTCTAGCGGTGAGTGACAGTTCCATCCAGCTGGATTTAAAGTCACTTTTTGTATTTTAAGCTGTGTGAGAGGGAGAAAGCATGCCATGCTCTTAACATTATTTCTGCATTTGCAAGGAGGGTGATAATACCGTCTTAAGTATTTCACAGCATTTTGATAATCAAAATAAAATAATGTTAAATACTTTTTAAACTAAATGCCAGGAAAATATTAACTAGTTTAGGGGAGAAATCCAATTGATGCAATTTCCCACTAGAACTAACCTTTTTTTTAGTACCTTAATTATTTTAGAGATTCTCATCTCTACGATAACTGATACATTTCTATTGCAGTATATGGAAGAACGCAGAAAACAGAAGTGGCAGAGATGTAAAAAAAATAATAAAGCAGAATTGAACTGTTTGGGAATGGAAGCAGTACAGACAGCTAACTCTAGAAATGGGAAAAAGGTGAGACTCAAGCACTTCTCAAATTAGTTGCCAAAGTTTTTACTGGGGATTGTGATTAATGTTTATCTTTTATCCAATGTGTATTTCTAAGTAAAATTATCTCCAGTTCACCAAGAAGAAAATCAGAATATTTTTCTTGGCGGTCTTGCAGTCTTGTGGTATCTTCATCTTTAACAGAGCCTGAAATCCTAAAAAACCTATGTTTAGCAATGTAAGCACATGAGAATATAATTTTAGTTTTACAACGTCAAAAGTGGGAGTTTGGGAGTAACATTTTGTTTCAGTGCTGGCAGTTAAATCTGGGGCCTTGAGCATATTAGGCAAGTGATTTACCACTGAGTTACCTTCCCAGCTAAACAAGCTCTTAAAAGTTTTTGTAATTCTAAAACTGGGCATGATGCTGCACCCCTATAATCCTAGCTATGTAGTAGTCTGAGGCAGGAGAGTTCAAGTTGGAGCCCAACCTAGGCAATTTAGTGAAACCTTGTTGCAATTTGTGTGTGTGTGTATTTTAGAGAAGGGTCTACAGGGTGTTCAGAGTCTCACTACTAGATTGGACTCGTAGTGATCCACCTTTTTACAGTCTCCCAAGAGCTAGGATTACAGGCCAGTCTCACAAAATTTTTACAAGGAGTGGGAATGACAAAGTCTTGCTATGTTATCCACACTGGCCCTAAAATCCAGGAAGTGAGTGATCACCTTCCTGCCTCAGCATCTTGAGTAGCCATATATCACCTTGCCCATCAAAAATGGTTAAAGGAGCTGGGGAGATAGCTCAGTGCTCTAAGCACCTGGCTGGCAAGCATAAGAATCCAAGTGCAACCCCCGGGACTGCATGCTGTGCCCGCCCTGAAACTGGGTGTGGTGGCAATTATATGTAATCCCAGTGCTAGGGAGGCTGAGACAGGAGGATCACAACCAGTCTGGACCATGCATTGAGAGCCTCAGTGCTGGGCCAAGTGCTCCAAGAGCAACACAGATAGGTCCAAAAAACCAAAAACTAATCTTGGGATAAATTATGTCCCAAACTAAGGGACAAGACTTAGCCATAGAAGAAATCAAAGTGCCCAGGCATCAATCTGCGCAGTGGAATAGTCAGAGTTGGAGGAAACATGTATCAAATAAATTAAAAAAAAATTTTTTTTAATGGTTAAAGTAGAATTGACCATGGATTTACCACTGTAGTACTCCTGGGAATTATAAGAATTACTGTACTTTAAAAAAATTCATAAAAGTGTACTATTAAATGCTTATTTTTCCATGTCAAAGAGTTATGTACCCATGTCAGGTGTTAGTCTTAGGCTGGAAATAACATCCAGAAACATAAAATACAATACTAAGTATGTGATTTGTTGTTGAGTTTTTGTTGTTTTGAGACAGTCTTGATGTGCTCAGGCTGACCTCAAACTCACAGCAATTCTGCCTCAGCTTCCTGAGCGCTAGGATTACAGGTGTATATCACCAAGCCTAGCCTCTCTAAATATGTGAATTTCATGCAGTGAAGCATAAACTGTTTCATAATATCAGCATCAAATCCTTGATTTTAGCTTCAGTATCAGAATGCTTCCACCAGCCAAGTATATCATTTCCTCTTTCCTGTTACTACCAATGAAGCTTAATCTGATTATAAAACACACAGTGAAAAATCGTCGTTTGTCATTTGGAGACAGGGTCTAGCTATGATGTTCAGGCTAGTCTTTGTAGCCCAGGATGGTCTTGAACTCCCAATGACCTTCCTGCTTCAGCTTCTCAAGTGCTGGGATCACAGGTGTGCACCACCGTGCCTGGCTTGAAAAATCATTTGGGAGAACCAGGTTTGGTGAATCCCCACTACTCGGAAGGCTGAGTTAACAAGATCACAAGTTAGAGGCAGATCATATAGTGAATCCTTGTCACAGTAAAATTTAGGGGGAGAGGGAGGGCTGCAATGTAGCTCAGTGCTAGAGGACTTGTGAGGTCCTGGGTTCAATCCACAGTATGGGAATAAAAAAGTACTTTGGGGACTGGGAATATAGCACCTGCCTGGCAAGTATAAGATTATGAGTTCAATTCACACTACCCCCAAAAAAGTACCTTTGTAAGCTTATTCCTTTGGTTTCCCTTTCTTTATTTCTTTTTACTGTCTTCTCCTCCCAGGGTCATCACGTTGAAACTGTATTCAACCGGGTTTTGCCAGGGCCTGTTACACCAGAGAGCAGCAAGAGACGGGCCCGTAGGACACGACCAGACCTTTCTAAGATGATGGCTCTGATGCAGGGTGGAGGCACTGGCTCAATGTCTCTGCATAACACCTTCCAACATAGCAATAGTGGTCTACAGTCTGTGTCATCTCTGGGTCACAGTAGTGCCACTTCTGCATCTTTGCCTTTTATGCCGTTTGTGATGGGTGGTGCAGCGTCATCCCCTCATGTAGACTCCAACACCATGCTTCATCACCACCACCACCACCCCCACCCCCACCATCACCACAATCACCATCCAGGCTTGCGAGCCTCTGGGTACCCTTCCTCACCAGCGACTGCCACCTCTGGCACTGCCTTGCGATTGCCACCACTGCAGCCTGAGGAGGACGACGAGGATGAGGAGGAAGATGAGGATGATGATTTATCTCAGGGCTACGATAGCTCAGAAAGGGACTTCTCACTTATTGATGATCCTATGATGCCAGCCAATTCAGACTCCAGTGAAGATGCGGATGACTGAAGCCCCAGCATGGTCCCCATTGCTTGGGTGGCTGCTGTCTTTTCATTTACTCTGGCCCTTCATTTACTATGGAAAAGTGGGAGGGGCAGGAGAGATGTGGGGAGACCCAGGACTCCTGGAGGTGAAAGGAAAAGGAAAAAAGAACCTTGTACCTGATTGCTCCCAGTTTTGAGAGGATTGGGTGGGCAGGGGAACTCCTAAAATAATACACAACCACTTCCTCATTTCTGGGGAATGAAAGGAGCCCAGCGCAGCTGGTGTGCTCACCCCTCCCTAGACACCTCCATTAACCACAGACTATGTAGCGCTGGCCCTGGCCTCTGGCAGAGCCTGTTCCTGGCCGAACTGTGGACACAGCTGGAGGGTCAGGAACTGTTACCTTCCTTCCCCTTGGCATTAATAAATTTAAGTTAATCCTTTTCCATTCTTCCCTTGTCCTATATTTACTAAAACCTCATAGCATTTTAAGCACAGTGGATAATTTCAAAACCACTTTCCTAAGGTTTAGTAATGTTCATTTATCTTAGGGCAGCAGTCGTTTGTATTGGTCTAAGGGGTGTATAAAATATACAAAACGGACCAGTTTGCTAAAGCCACAGTAATAATTTAGGGTGAACAGGAGTAAATGTTCATATCGAACTGCCAAATTCTTGTAAGATGAGGAGGAATCTCATGGACCATGTGTATTTTTTAAATTAAGTAATTCTGGGAAAGTTATGGGATAGCGTCACTTAAGAAAATGCAGCAGAGACTGGCAGACAGGATGCTGTCACAACCTGGGCCTGGGCAGCAGAGTTTGGGAGAAGGAGCTAAGGGGCTTTTGGAGCCCCTCCGACCATGTTTCCTCCAACCCTTAAAATTCCACCGCTCAGACTGACCTGGGCGTTTTAATTTCTTCTGTGTTAGCAACAGCTTCCCACAGTTTGGGTCATAATTTATCGCAAGGTTGGTTTCTGTTTTCTTGGACCCGGCTCTGCGCGGTCCGCGGAGCACTTGGCCCAGCACGAGGACCCGGCCAGCCTTCCCGCAGACACGCTTGCGCCCGAGCGCTGTTCCGGAGGCGCGCGGCCGCGTCCGCCCGCTGTGGCCCCGCGCCAGCCTCGCCGCGGCCGGCTCCGTCGGCCTCCCCTTCCTTTCCGGTGGGCGGGGCCGTCGCACCCTCCGGCCGCCCGTGAGAGGCCGGTGAGCGGGCCAGGCTGCCCTCGCCTCCCCCGCGCCCGGGCTGCAGCCTGGGCGGAACGCTGGAACCGCGGGACCCATGGAGGGTCAGAGTCGGGACGCGGGAGAGCGTCACGTGATGACGTCGCCTCGCGTGCGGCCGTGGCGAGGCTGAAAAACCCGCGAAAATCGACTGAGCGCATTTTGATTCCCCCCACCTTTTTTTTTTTTTTTTTTTGCGTTTCCCTCCCCCTATGGAGATTGTTTTTGAAAAAAAATTCAACCTCTGTCGGGACCCGGAAGCGGAAAGGGCATCTTTGAGGTCGGTACTTCCGGGTCACTGAGAGTGCGGGATTCCGGGGCCGAGAGCGGGTGGCGGAGCTGGGACCTCGCGTGATTCTCGGAACCCGAGGAGAAGCGGTGTCCGGGGCTATGGCTGTAACTCTGGACAAAGACGCTTATTACCGGCGAGTTAAGAGACTGTACAGCAACTGGCGGGTAAGGAAGCGCCCATAATATCCCCCAGGGAGCCCCCCTCTTCCATCCCATAATAATCCTGCTTCTCGGCGCCCTTTTTTTCCCCTTTCGGTTAGGAATTCCTGGGTTCCGTGTCGCGCTTTTTTGTTGCCCCCGCGTCTCTCACCTCCGGCAGCTGCGAGTGCTGCCAGTGATAAGGTGCCTTCCGCAACTGCCCTGCCCTGCGGCCCCCACCATCTTCCCCCGCGTGCCGGCCCAGCCATGCAGAACAGCCGCCCCTCGCAGGCTCTTCCCGCCCTGGAAGAGGCAGCATCTTGTCCTCCTCTGTGATCACGTCCTGCTGCCCCTCCTGCGGTGTTCGCACGCTCCCACGCGCTAGCTTTGTACCTCCGGATCCACAGCGTTCGGCGCCAGGTCCCGCCAGAATTACAGCCGTGTCGAATAGGAGGGATGTAGGGGCGAAGGGGCTGTGGATCGAGCCCTTTGGGTTTGTCATTTGCAAGGCTTTTTGCCTCGTTAGGAAAAATAGTACTCACGTACAACCGCTTCATATTATAGGCCCTGCCGTGGATAACGGATCTAACACTGAAAATATGTTGGCATTGGTAATAGAAATTTTTTTTAAAGTGATGCCTTTTTAAAACCTTGCTAGGTAGCGTATCCGGGGCACGTGTTGAGAAAATGAGCTGTGGCTGTTTCAGGTCTTGAAAATTGAGCAGTATCGTTGCTTTTAAAGACGTTCACATCTAAAACTCGGTTTTACTAATTATAGTATTAATAGTAACTATTAATAGTAATTTATTAATTGAACAAACATCTGATTGCATTCTGTGGTGCAGTTTGAGCTGTCTAACCTAAGTCCGGCCTCAGAACCGAGTCATCAAGGGAAGACTTACAGAAACCTGAAAACAGCCTGACAGAAAATATTAATTCAGATTTCAGCATTGTAAATTGATTCTCTGCTACAAGCATACTATAAAAATTATTTGCGGGATGCAGGGGGTAGATGCAGGTATATAATCACAGCACTTACCAGGCTGAGACAGGATTGCTGCTAGTTCGAAGCCAGCCTGGACTGCATAGTGAAACCTCGTCTCAAAAAGACCCCCCCCCCATTGTTTTCTTATTTTGCCATCTGTAGGAAGGATGCTTGTCCACGTCTCATGTTTTACGGCTAAATACATTAACGAATGGAAAATAAAATGGATTCTCTGTTGCATTTTATTAAAAGCAAAAAAACATGCTAGATAAAAGTTGAAGTCTGTTCTAATTTTTGGTGTGTTTTGTTTTGTTTTGGTATTGTTTTTGGAACAGGTTCACTGTGTATTCCAGGCTGGCCTTGAACTCCCCATGTAGCCCAAGTTGGCTTTGAACTTACGGTTATCCTCCTGCCTCAGTCTCTAGAGTGCTACCCGTACAGGCATGTGCCTTCATGCTTGGCAAGACTGTTTAATTTTTGTTTTATTCTTTTCTCTTATGAAACACTTCAATAAAAGCCCAAAACGTTATCAAGAACTTCGGTGGTACTGTGTTGAGTCATGGAGCTCCTGCTCCCTTTTTACTTAACTGGATCCTTCCCTATTCAGAACATCAGGGATGTTTATGGTTATGATTATGTCTAACCACATAACATGGTTTTATACTGCTCATGGAAAAACAGAAGAGGTTCCTCCTTGTCCTGGGGTTCCAGCCACCTTGATGGTTGAGGGGTACAATGTTCATGCATACCTGTTAATCATTTGAGATCTGTTTGTTGGGTTGTCTTGCTATGAATGGTCCTTGACTGTATTCATGTGCCTTTTATCTTAATTCTGTAAAGCATCAGAATAGCAGCCGTTTTCGAAGGAAATACTTGTTTAGCATGTTTATTGACACAATCTTTTGGCAGTTGTGAAGATTGGAGTAATATAATAGGTAGCTATGACCCCAAAAGGAAGTTTGTGCTAGTGAGAAAAGTAATAATAATAATAATAAGCACTAGCATCAGTATTTCTTGTTTTCTGGTCCTTGGTTTTTATGGGGCTTACTTTCCTGTTTTGGGTTCTGTAAGATTAGGAAACTATCTTTTGTGGTTTAGGAAAATTTTGGGGTGAGGGAACAGGGTCTCACTGTGTAGTTCAGTCTGGCCTTGAACTCACTGCAGCCCTGCTGCCTCTGCCTCCTGAGTGCTGAAATAATAGGCACTACCATGCCTGGCTGGAAGAATTTTTGGAATGCAGACAGTTCCCATCTTTTACCAAGGCACGGAATTGTCTTTATCTCATTCTATATCATTTCATTTTGATATTTTGAGATGTCTTACTATTTTACTAGGGTTGGTCTTCCACTATTTGGCCCAAGAGTTCTGCCTGAGTCAGCCTTCCAAGGGGTTGGGCCTGTAGGTATATACAGTTCTGCTTAGCTCCTTCTCAGTTTTTTATAGCTTCTCTATCTTTGTAGTGGGATAAAAAAATGTTAGCTTTTCATCACTGTAACAGTGCTGTGTAGAGGAAAGAAAGGTTGAGATAAATGTACAGACAACTTAAAGATTTTAAAGGCTTTCTATTTGATTTTTACAATCTAATCTACTTTTTGTATTTAGTCTTTTGATTTGGTGTGGTTTTTTTTTTTTTTATACAGGATCTATTATGTAATGCAGGCTGGCCTTGAATTCACTATGTAGTCCCATGGCCTCAAACTGGAGGCGATCCTCCTGTCTCAGTCTCTTGTGTGCTGGGATTACAGGTACACGCCACCACACCTAGCCTATATTTATTCTTCTATCCCCGTAACCAAGTATAATGTCAGTGGTCAGTAGATAGTGGTGATTGGTAAGTTTTCATGTATCTCTATTGTTTTTTTTTTAAATTTATTTATTTATTGTGTGTGTGTGTGTGTGTGTGTGTGTGGCCAGCTCAGCCCACCAGGGGGCGGGGCTGGCTGGCATGTGGTGCTGGGGAT